CCCACAACAAACACCTTACGTTTTGTCTTGGGGAGAGCAGGGGCGGGAACTGCAGTTGGGCCCATGTTGCCTGTGGGAGCCGGCAACTCAGCAGGCTCCGCAGGAGCGGCAAGAGGTGCATACCTGTTGCTCAGCTCCGGCGGGACAGGGGCCTTGGTGCGGCTGGTTTAATTCTCCCTAAATTGAAGCACTGTTTTTTTAAAAGCACCACTTCAATTTAGGACGAAGTAAACCCCCATGTCATGTACCCCCATGTTCTTACCTGCCTCTCCAGTGGCAGGGGGGGGGGGGGGGCCAAATGGTCCCTGAGCTGTGGGGCGGGGGGAGCTGGTGCTTTCCTCTGTGGCAGCAGCGGCACCCCTGAGGTGGTACTTGGCTCAGGCAGTCCTGGGGGACACTGCAACTGCGGAGGGAAGCACTGGGTCACTGTGCAGCTCAGGTAGGCAGGCAAGCTCTGGGGAAGGAAAAAAAAAAACATCAGGCTCGCCGCTTTTTTTTTTTCCTTCAGTGCAGCCTGCTTTCCTGGGCTGCTGCCAGGCTGCCTGCTGAGGTGGCCTGCAGAGCCCCAGAGCCCCACGGGGCCTGGCGATTCACTCTGCGGCTGTAAGGTAGCAAACTAAAAGTCCTTGGAGGTGTTTTAGTTTGCTCTGCCCCGAAGTCATTTGCTGCGCCCCAAAGTCATTTAAGGTGCATTATGCTACCGAATTTGCTACAGCAGCTGAAAGTAAGACGTAATACACCACCGAATTTGCAAACTTGTGCAAACAACAACATCATTAAAGCGGTGCAAAAGGGCATTTCACCCGCTTTAATGTGTCGTCTACAAATGCCCATTGACTGAGCCTTGAGGTCTTGGCAGAATTCATTTAAAGAACATGGATTTAACAGCTCATCACTGATATTTTTAAAAAGGCAATGGAATTCTTTGTCAATATTGTCATATTTCTGCATAGGAGCATGGCTTCTTGTTGTTGAGATGGGCCTCCCTGACTGAGCAGGATTGGAGAAGTTATTTCTGGGCATTTGTTAGCTGAGTTCCTGATGAGTCATTTCTGAGATGGGGTAATAGTGATGCAGCTAGATCAGCCTGACTAAACTGGAGAAGGTAATCACTCCTTAACATCCTTGGTTTCTTTTTAATTATCCCTTACTTTACAAGAGGACTCTGAAGGCCGAATCACTTTTAATAAGTTTCACCTTTTGATGCTCTCATGTCTTTTCAAATGGCAAATGTCTTTGCACATTCTTTGCCATGGTTGTAAGGGGCTGGGCCTTTGTAAAGCTAAGAAATGATTTTCCTGGCTTTGACTCTGTTAAAGAAAAATAACCTACCTAGCTATTCTTAAGTGCCTGGCTTTGTTACCTAGCACATAGTGGGAATTAAAATCCCACCTATATTACGTGTTTTGTGGTTTGGACTTCCATCAGATGTGGTCTGGAAAGGCTTTTTTTCATTCACATCCCAACTTAATGGCAAGTGCCTCCTTTGTTTTCCATTCTCTACATCTTCGCTCAGAGAGTTTCTCACCATACTCTTTACTGTCATACCATAGAGCCTTGGCATGGCCAACCAAGAGCATCTCCCCAGCACCCTGGCTGCAATGCTGAGATACATTAGTACTTTAACACTTGTATTTCCCATCTGTTGCTGCTCAAGGTCCTTAGTCTTTTTGATTCCAGAACTTCTCTCCTCCTCTTTGTCTATTTGGATTGAGGATTATCTGAAAACCCTGAGACAATAGCCTGGGACCCTTTCTCTTAGATCTGGAAAGATGGCATCATGTGGGGCTCATGTTGCCCCCATACTGTGACACACAGCATGAGCAATTTGGTCCCCCACTGGGCTAGGTGTCTGCACATTGCAATAGTTGTGTGTTGGATACCTGTTTGACTGCCACCCCCAAGATGGGTTAGTTACTCCCACTTATGCAATGTCTATGTTTTCCCCTTGAGCTCTTTATTAAAATCTGTGTTCAGATGCTTATTACAGTGGCCCCTCCCAAGGGATGGGTGTATATTTCCATATATCTGAAGGAGCTCCAGTCAGGCGCTATAGCATGCACTGAGGTGTCCATTTCATTCTGCCTAACCTCCTTGTTTGTATTTCCAGGGAGGCAGTCAGAGACCAGGAGAACATCTGCTGAGTTCAGGAGGGCAGAGCTGCCTTGTCCAGGTTCTCAGACCTGTCCCTTCAGCTGGAAACTCAACTCACAGTAAGAGCTCACCATGTTTCTCAATGCATGCATCTAGGTTTTACATTCTGAAGCATACAATTATCCAAATTATTTTTGTAACTTGGTGCTGGGCTGTTAATTAATGTAATTGGTGTTTGTTCAGAGGCTGATCTACATTATTGAAAGTCTGGAGATTATTGTTGCAGTTATTAATCATACAGAAATAAACACCAGAGGTACCTGCTGCAAAGCTAGAAGAACTAGAAATAGTCAGGCATGGGGGGAGGGTGGGGGCTTGTCAGCATCACCTTGGGCCTTGTGGGAAGCAGGCAGGGAAAGGCAGATTGATTTAAGACAGCCAGTGAGGGATGTGGACCCTACTGGAAAGGTCTGAAAGGCAGGGAGGGGACAGAAGTTTAAATCAGGCAAGATTTGGAATCAGTTAAGAGACAAGCAAGGTAGAATTGCTGTGGGTCCAGTATATAGGTTGAGCACCGGAGATGGCAAGAGGCACTAAGAAAAACAGCACACCAGAGACGTGGTGTCAGGAATTAAAATGTGAAAGAAGTATTGGGGAGATAATGGAGATTCAGCTGGTGGGAACTTAAAGGAGACTAGCGATAGGTTACAAGAGAGTCCCATGCACCCTTACTGCCCATGGATTGGCTGAGCGCAAACATCAAAAGCAAAATATGCCAGGAGGGATTGGGCATATTTCACTGGGTGCAACAGGGCTGTCATTATTGTGCACAGACTAATGTAGATGCGTATAGGGTCTTGGAGTCATTAACATGTGTCAGACAAAGAAAGAAATCCCTGCCCCGACCAACTGAGGTTCATACCATCTAAGGGATTTAGGTGCTTAAATGCCATTCAGGTGTGGACCCTTGCAGATAAAAAGAGAGCCATGCAGCCCAGGCAAACAACAGGAGCTGGTGTGTTACTGCAGGAATCCTCCATGGGACTTGGAGGCCTCAGAGTGTTTGGAAGGAGGAGACAAATGGTGCTATCTGGGCATAGACTAATCAGCAGTAAGATGTGTCCTATTCTGCACTGACAGTACCAGATCAGGAGAATTTGGGCACAAAACACCAAGAGGAATCTGGTTATGAGATTCACATCCTTGAATAGGCACAAGCCAAATGACAGCAAGCTCCGAAGCTTGCCAGAAGTGGAGACCATATATCAGGGGCCTTTCCTAGAGTAGTTAAGTTCCATGGAGGTGCCTCAGATCTTCAAGCAGCACCATTCTGTCAATGCTGCCTTTCAAACTGCCTGCAAGCCTATGGAAGGAACTGGAGGGAGTGGTTTTATAGTAGAAATGGTGCATTCGCTCTCTATAACCTCCACCTTGCGGTTCCTTCCAGATGCTGCTGCAAGTCACTAACAAATCAGAGGATCAGATACACTAAGAGAAATCAGATTGTTTTCCTTAGCTGAACTCCTCCATGGCTGGAAACGATTTACCTTTTACATGGGACACAAGGACCATTGCAGACATCCGTGATATCCAACATAAACTGTGCAGAAATCTATTTCCCTAGGGGAAATGGCTGTATGGGAAAGCTATTATGCAAGTTCCCTGTGAATGGTAATGTCATGTCAGACTGATTGCTGTTAGTGCAGGGGCTGATGGAGGGCTGCAGGGAATGGTAAAATCATGCTCAGCTCTCAGAATGGGTCTGATATAACAATGCTGCTCCACTCTCAAAGAGGTACCATGGGCCCTGGTGTACCCTCCCTGATGTAAAGAATGGGCATGGCACAGAGCTCAGGGAAATGATTGTGTGGAAGAGAAGGAGGAAATGGTAGGAGCATGGAGAGCATTTCAGCCTTGAGCCTTGTAACAGAACACTAACCCTGAAGAAAGTGCTTTGGCTTCTCCATGGTGGTCAGCAGAGATGGGACAAAGTGGCAAATCTTAGCTCCAGATCTAGTTCCCTAAGTACTGGTATGCATAGATCATAACTCAAGAAGAGGGTGCAGCCTGGAATGGAAGGGTTTTGCTCCCTTGACCCAGGTTCCTTTCTCTTTTGGGCCCCAATTCATATTAGCACCTCAGCCTCAAGGCCTGAGGCAGTTACTGAGAGTCATTGCCTTTCAGTGGGTTGCCTTTATGTGTTCCCTCTGGAGTGCAGAGTTGTGAAGGGGCCTTGAGGAATGGATTCCCCACATCTTGTGGTAGTTTAGAGAGTGTTGTTAGTAGTTAAGATAGATGACCAGGAATCAGGACTCCTGGGTTCTTTTTCCATCCGTCATTGATTTGTTGTGTGACCTTGTGCAAGCCCCTTCACTTCTCAGTGTCTCTATGGAAATAAGGGATAGAGATAAAAAGTGATCTTCTGAGAGGTTGTGACACGTCCTTTAATTAGCAGCATGGGGGAAGTGCACCTTCAGATAGCAGGTGTCATAGATATGATCCAGATGTGGGGGGTCAGAGGTAAGGACACAAGCCTGGGATGTCCAAGAGTCAAGGGTCACATTACCAGGGAGTCCAAGCACAAAGGGGTAAGCAGGATCTGGGGACTAGGAGTTAGGTAAATGGGTTAAGGCTAGACAAAGGTGCAGGTAGCAATTAGGCAAGGCTTTAGGTAGGAGCTGCTGGTTAGGAGCTAGAGGAACAGCAGGAACCAGATAAGACAACAGGGAACCAAACATCAGGAACCAGATTAGGAAACTCAGAACCAGAAATCAGGAACCAGCGCCAGGAATCAAGGACCAAACTAGGAGCAGGAATCCAAGACCCAGCATGAGAAGCACTAAGAGCACTACAAGGGATACTGCTTATATGCAGCAGCCATATCCAAACACTTGAGCCAGATGAGGGCACTTAGGCAGCTGGCATTCAGTCCCCCCAGGATATCAGGGCCATCTGGGGCTTGTCTGTCTGCCCACTGCTCAACCCCCCCTACAACAAGCTAGCAAGGGACACCCTCTCTGAACCCTGATTTCCAGATTCTGGTGTCACTTGATGGTTTGCTCAGTCAGACACTGCTGTGCATTTCCCCATAACCTGCCATGACTGTCCGTGGTAGGGATAGGGCATATGGGCACTGATAAGTGATGGCCATGCTGCCAAGTGCTTCTGTGCTGCCATTTTAGGGGGGTGGGGTGGAGAAGCCCTCCCCAGGTGTATAGGGCAGAATTCTATTTCACCTAGTGGATGACCAGAGCACAGTCTGGGACTAACTCTAAGGGCCAGATTCTCTTCTACTTTTAGGCACATAAATGAATTTGGGTATCTCAGTGTACTCCATCCGGCTCCAGTCTATGAAAAACAGTTAATGCAAATGATGGGTGAGGCCTTCTTTTCCTCCCTGCATTTTTGTGACACAGTCTGAAGGATCAGATGACTGTGTGTTACAAGATTTGATGCATTCATTGATTTTCAATTACTTGAGCAGGGTGGAATTAAAGTCCTGAAGGGTTAATTAAAGCACATTTCAGAGGAGGGCCACCCGTTTGGTGAGAGGGCAGCAGGACAGGCCCTATAAGGAGAGACTGAGGGACCTGAACCTGTTCAGTCTCAGCAAGAGGAGGCTGAGGGGGGACCTGGTGGCTGCCTACAAACTCATCAGGGGAGATCATCAGCAAATAGGTAGAGCCCTTTTCTCCCCAGCACCACCTGGGGTGACAAGAAACAATGGTAATAAGCTGATGGAGAATAGGTTTAGGTTAGAGATCAGAAGGCAATATTTTACAGTTAGGGTGGCCAAAATCTGGAACCAACTTCCCAGGGAAGTGGTCCTCGCCCCTACCTTGGGCAAATTCAAAAAGAGGTTAGATGATCACCTGTCTGGGGTCTTGTGAACCCAGCATTCATTCCTGCCTGTGGCAGGGGGTCAGGCTAAATGATCTGATCAGGTCCCTCCTGACCCTAGCTACTATAAAACTATGAAACCCTTCAGGGAAGCCAAATCACTTATGTATCTAATAGGTGGAACAGAATCTGGCCCTGAGTTAACATATTGTTGTGTAGGAGTGACGCTATTACCCCTCTGGGTGTGCAAGTGTCCTCATCATAGGAATAGGATTTCCTCTGGAGACACACAGATATCTCTTTCTAGAATGGGGGCACTTACATGCCCCAGGGGGTAAGAAAATAACTCCTACTCAATGGTTGAGTAGCTTTCTGCTCATAGTCACTGCTGGAAGTGGTGGGCTCAGCGAGCATTGTTGAAGAATACAGGTCCATTTGTAGGGTCAGCTCCTTGCAAGGTTCAAGCTGATCAGCTTCCTTCCGTTCCTGTTGTATACATTCCCCACAGGGGTAGTACGGCACAGGACACACAAGGTTCCAGTACCTTCAAGCAAAACTACAGGTGGGAATGCCCAAGGAAGCCTGGGCAGCAAACGCTGGGGACTCTTGCTGGGGGATCAGTGACAGGCATTCCT